TGTTCAAGATTTCCTACTTCTTTATATTTCTACCGTCACAGTATGTTACCAACAATCTCTTTGTCTTTGCCAGCAGCATCTTTGCCAATAAAATGGGGTATCTGTATAAAGTTGCTGCTGTCATTCATGTACAATCCTTCATATGGATATACACTCCCATTTCCTGGGGTAACTACCAAAGAGTTAAATAGCTGAATCCTATAGTAAGCACGTGTTTGACTTTTTAAGAACGTGCCAAACTTTTCCCAAGTGGTTGTGCCATTTTACATTCTCACCAGAAGTGTATGAGAGTACAAGTTCCATCCCATCCTTGCCAACAATTGTCTTTAATTTTTAGCCATTTAGGGATATCTCATTTTGATTTTAGTGTGCGTTTCCTTAATTACTAATGATTTTCAGCATATTTCCACGTGTTTATTTGCCATCCATATGTATTTTGTGATGAAGTTTCTATTCAAATCTTCAAATCTTTGATAATTGTTTTATTGGTCTCTTATTCTTGATTTGCCAAGTTTTTCAACTAGATGAAAGAATTTTATCAAATATATGCTTTGCAAAGATTTTCGTCCAGTTTGTAGCTTATCTTTTCATTCTCTTAACAGTGTTTTTTGACACGTTGTTTTTAATTTAGATGAAGTCCAACTTACCCATTTGTTTTTTTATGGATTGTGCTTTTTGGTTTCATATCTAAGAAATCATTGCCTAACCCAATGCCACAAATATACTCTCTTACTTCTTTTCTAGAAATGTTATAGTTTTGGATTTTACGTTTAGCTATATGATCAAATTTGAGTTAATTTCTGTATACGGTATGAATTTAAGTCCTTTTTTTTTTGCATATTGGTTTCCAATTTTGCCAGCACTGTCTGTTGAAAGGCTATCCATTCTGATTGCATTGCCTTTGTGCCTTTGTCAACAATTAGTCTTCCATATATGCATTAGGGATAGATCATCGGGTTGTCTTGTTGAGTGTGGTTCTTGAAGCTTAATGTAGGCAATACGCATATATATCTGGAACTTTGATATAAGGCCGAGGTCCGTAGTCTGTTTAATAAAAGGAGTTGATCATTTAACAATCATTCATTAGTCTAAAATAAGAAGTGCAACTTTATGCAATGCTGGACAGGCTGAATGGCAGTGGGGTTGCCTGTGCGTTGCTGGTGGAATGTAAGTTGTTATTAGCACTTTAAAATATAATCGGCCTTACTTTGTAAACTAGACCATTAGAATAGTCTCTAAAAACACTATCCAAATGAAATTTCTGTGATGAGGGAAATGTTCTATATCTGTGCTCTCCAGTATGGTCGCCATTATTTACTTGTGGCTAATGAGCACCTGAAATGTAGCTACTGTGACTGAAGAGCTAAAATTTTAAGTGTATTTAATTTTAATTAATTTAAATTTAAATTTAAATGCAGTGTGTAATCCTAATTCAAATTCACCATGTTTCTATTTTTTGATTTTTGAAAGAAGGGGAAAAGCCTCATGCTTATATGCCAATTTAAAATCTGATGACTGTCTTAGGCTAGGTTCTTTAGAGAAGCAAACCCAGTGTCGCATATGCATACGTACATACATAACACACACACGTACATGTTTATGTGCGCATACGTCTGTCTCAAGGAAATAGCTCCCGTGGTTGTACAAGCTGGCAAGTCCCAAATCTGTGGGTCAGGTGTCAGGCTGGAACCTTCTTCTCCTGTCTCATGTAGCTGCAGGGGCGGATGAACCCAAGATCTGAAGGGAAGCTCCCAGCTAAAGTCCCAAGAACTGGAGTTCAGATGATGATGAGCTGGATGCAGGATCCAGAGCAAGAGCCTTGCTGGAACATCCATTTATATACTGGAGGCAGGCTACACCCACAAGGAAACTCCCTTTGGACTGATTGGCTGCTCATAGCATATCTCATCATGAGGTTGATTACATCATTACATTACTGCCAAACCACTGAGAATCATGGCCCAGACAAGTTGACAATCAACCTTAACAATTACAATGACATAATATTTTAAAAACTGTTCTCTCTTAAAGCATGGAATTTTCCTGCTTACTTAGAACTTTTTCTTTTTTTTTACATTAGCTTCTAGGCTGAGGGGTTTTGTTCTTAATGAGTCCCTGTGAGTGCTTGGGGAAGGACAAAGAATCAGCTCTGAAGACTGATTAAGTTTCCACCAGGGTGCATAGTGAGCAACAAACTCTTATACCACATGCTCCAGCTTGTGCAAGATCTCCCACAAATACAAGGAAGACTCTGGCTGGCAACACAAGAAAGTGGACAAGAAGGTTGCAAAATCCCACTATCAAGATCACGCAACTGAGGTTCACATAAGACAGATGCTGGACAAGGGAACTAGGGAACCATCTCTGTCTTCCACCACTGAGTAACAAGCAACTGCCGGGGGAAGTCAAGAGTGTAGAGTGACTGGCCGTGTGATGCAGGCATTCAGGGACGGTAAATGTATACACACGCACACACACACACACTCATGTCAAAAGTTCCTAAGCTCAACTATGGAGATGAGTCCATTGGGAAGGGGCGGGGGCTTTTCAAGTTCAATTCTGTGTCTGTATTTCTCATAAGATTCCCCATAAAAAATTTCTGGGCACATGGCAATAACCTTGGTAAAAAAAGAAAAAATACCACCTTGTCTGTGGACCAATATCTTTTATTATGTCTGCATAAATGAATTTTTTTACAGTGTTTATTTTCTTTAGTGTTACTTCGAGCATTTGGAAAGAATCAAGGAATGGACACTGTGGAATGATAAGATCGACAAGAAATTCCCCTTAAGGTTTCCAAGTAACGGCGGGTGGATTCGAATTGCTGACCTTTTGGTTAGCAGCCAAACGCTTAACCGCTGTGCCCCCCAGGCCCCGTATATCCATTTATAAAACAAAATCCATTGCTGTCAAGTCAATTCTGACTCATAGCAACCCTACAGGATGTAGTACAACTGACCCATAGGGTTCCCAAGGAGTGGCTGGTGGGTTCGAACTGCAGACCTTTGGGTTGCAGCCTCAGCTCTTAACCATTGTGCTACGAGGGCTCCTTATAAATGTTGTTGTTGTTAGGTTCCATGGCATCGGTTCTGACTCATAGCAACCCTATGTACAACAGAATGAAACACCACTTGGTCCTGCACCATCCTCACAATTTTTATACTTGAGCCCATTGTTGCAGCCACTGTGTCAATCCATCTCATTGAGGGTCTTCCTCTTTTTTGCTGACTCTCTACTTTACCAAGCATGATTTCCTTCTCCAGGGAATGATCCCTCTTGAAAACATGTCCAGAGTATGTAAGACATAGCCTTGCCATCCTTGCTTCTAGGGAACTTTCTGGTTGTACTTTTTCCAAGGCAGATTTGTTCGTTCTTTTGGCAGTCCACAGTATATTCAATATTCTTCACCAACACCGCAATTCGAAGGCATCAGCTCTTCTTTGGTCTTCCTTATCTATTGTCCAGCTATTGCATGCATACGAGGGGATTGAAAACACCATGGCTTGGGTCAGGCGCACCTTAGTCTTCAAGGTGACATCTTTGCTTTTTAACACTTTAAAGAGGTCTTTTGCAGCAGATTTGCCCAATGCAATGTATCTTGATTTCTTGACTGCTGCTTCCATGAGTGTTGATTGTGGAGCCAAGTAAAATGAAATCCTTGACAACGTCAATCTTTTTCTCCGTTTATCATGATGTTGCTTATTGGTCCAGTTGTGAGGATTTTTGTTTTCTTTATGGTGAGGTGTAATCCATACTGAAAGCTGTGGTCTTTGATCTTCATCAGTAAGTACTTCAAGTCCTCTTCACTTTCAGCAAGCATCAATATACAAGAAAAAAGGAAACCTTGACCCATACCTTGCACCATATACAAAAACAAATTTGAAATGGAATATAGAATTTTATGTTAACTCAAAACTTCTAGAAGAAAACATAAGAGAAATTTCATCCTTAGGTTAGGTAAAGATTTCTTAAGGATAAAAAAGGCACAAATCGTAGAAGAAAAGATTGATTAATTGTACTTCATCAAATTAAAAATTTCTGCCCTTTAAAGACACTGTTAAGAGAATGAAAAACTGTAATGACGTGTGTGTAAAACCCTTCTGATAAAGTACCAGTATCCGGACTACGTCGAGAACTCTCATGAAAACAAACAGCCCAATAAACATGGGCAATGATTTGAATAAATATTTCATCATAAAGATATGTGGATGACAAAACAAACAAATAAACAAGCAAAAAACCTAAGAGAAGATATTCACTTCGTTTATTCTTTAGGGAAATACAAATTAAAACCAGTGTTAAATTCCACTACACCTTTACTCTGAAAGTGGTTGTAAAAAGTGGCATTATTAAATGTTAGAAGGATGCAAACAAATGGAATTCTCATTCATTGCTGGTGGGAATGCAAAATAGTACAGTCATGTCGGAAAACAGTTTGGCAGTTTGGACTTGCAAGTAAGCACATAATTGTTAGGTGTGGGAGCAGGTGTCAAACTCAGACCCGATTCGAGTTACTGTTCTCGTTCCTGTCTATGGGACTGCCTTTCTCCTAAAAGGTAAGGAGTCAAACAGCGATACATACACAACTGATAGAGAATAATGACTTTGGTTACTATTTACAGTCATTCCCAGTCAAAATGTGCAGGATGGTGACTGAAGTCTACAGGATTACGTACTAAATATGTGAGTTGCAGAAATAGGGTATACAGAACTCTGCCTCCTAAAACTCATCAGAAGCACTAGTACTCCACTAATCTGTGTTCCTAACTGGTATCATGAAGCAGTCTAGATGCAAGAGCGGCAGAAGTGGTAGGTCTGTTGCATCTTATATTTCAGCCTCATCTCCATCATAGTTTAGAATATAAGTACAGCCCATTTGAAAAAAAAAAAATAGCAAACATCCTCTGAGATGAGAGACAGACTCTCTAACTTCCTAGCGTCTGGGTTCTCGTAAGAAAACAAAATTGAGTTTTTTTGTTGTTGTTGTTGTTCTCGTGTTCTCAGGTAGCAAGACAAGCAATTTTCTTCTCACAAATACAGGGCCTGCGTTTTAAACAGTCAGAAGGAGCTATCGTTTTTGCTGTTATAATTCCACAATCTCCAGGCTTTGATGCTTTCCAACCGCTTGAAGTAAAACTAAAGAAAATAAACACTGTAAAATACATATTCATCTATGCAGACATAATAAAAGATATTCGTTCACAGATAAGGTGGTATATTTTTCTTTTTTTATCAAAATTATTGCTTTGTGCCCTAAAATTTTTATGGAGAATCTTATGAGAACTATAGACATGGAATTGAACTTGAAAAGTCCCCCTACCTTCACATCTCCATAACTGAGCTTAGAACTTTTGACGTGAGTGTGTGTATGTGTACGTGTGTATACATAACTGTATACATATGCGTTTATGCGTATAACCCAAAAAACCAAACCCATTGCCATGGAGTCAATTCCGACTCATAGCAACCCTACAGGACAGAGTAGAACTGCCCCACAGGGTTTCCAAGGAGCAGCTGGTGGATTCGAATTGCTGACCTTTGGGTTAGCAGTCGAATGTTTAACCACTTAGCCACCAGGGCTCCATGTATGCATGCATATAAATGTATTTTTTCTTTTTCCTTTTAAGACTATAAACCAGAATCTGTGATTATAGAACTAATTAAAATGAAACAAAACAAAAACATAAACAAACCAGTTGCTGTCAAATTAATTTGGACTAATGATGACCCCACGTGTGCACTGGGGAACGGTGCTCTACAGGGTGTTCAAGGCTGTGGCGTTTTAGAAGTAGATCACCAGGCCTTTCTTCCAAGCCACCTCTGGGTGGGTTAAAACTCCCAGCTTTTTGGTTAGTAGTTGAGTGCCACCCAGTGAGCCATTGAACTGATTAGCTAGTATCTATTCTAGAGGCTTACACATCAAGAGAGGGTGCTGAGTTATCTTCCCAAGTCCAGAGAGGGCTGATTTCTTTACGGACCAATCCAATCCAAAAGAAGTAAGATATTTGGCTTTGAATGAAGTTCTGTAATGAGAGAAACATATTCTATGAGTAAAAATTTTTTTCTGCTCCTGAAATGAATAACCGCATTAATATTATTTTTATTATTGTGAAAAGCAAGGTTTCGAGCAGCATAAAGATCAACTTCAGCTTGATTATAGTCAAGTTATGGAATTGCAGATGTTAGTATTTTATTAAATGTTCAGCCATAAATTAGACCTAAAATAATAATTTCTTAGTTTAGCTAATTTTATTTAGATTTAGGACTGAAATGTCTTACTTTCTTTTCAAAACTTTACTATGGTTCCAAGATTGAGTTATAGACAAATTCTAGTTTGTACATTGCTTGGTGTATGAGTGTGAGAACTATGAGGTTTCTGCCAATGTTATTTTATGGTTTTTGTTCCATATGTACTGAGTTTCTTCCCTGAGAAATAGGAATGCTGCAGATTAGGGGTTTCTATAGTCGGTTGGATAATTACGTGATAAACTAAACGCCCCTGATATTCATCTAGCACTTTAGTTTTACAAAGACCATGCATAGATATTATCTCGCTTGATCTCTCCAAATATACTGGGAAGAAAATTTAGTTTTTGTTACATACACCACACCTTTTACAAGTGAGGAAATGAATGAGTGAAAATGGAACTAAATTGAAGTTTTCTGACTGTAAATTCTGTTTTTCCCCATTCCACTTTTATTTCCAACTGTAGTTTTCATTTTCTTTTGCGTCTTTATTCCTTTGAAAAGATGATGAAAGTTTAGGTCTTTGTCCAGAAAAAACACATATCTGAATCTAAACATAAAATACTGCATTGAGTTTCAGATTTCACAGATAGTAATATTTCTCAATGAATGTACTCTCTGGGAAAGTTCAAGACTTCTAGATTTTGAA